GTTTTCCGTATCCCAACCATTTGCTAACTGCTCAGAGATACTAATATCTAATCAAGACCATCGAGTGCCTTCCAGGATGTAGATAAGCATATAAACAACAACTTCAAGTTAACTCCTTAATAGTAGCTGCTAGATTTTTTAGGATAGCGGTAGGGATTAGTGAGAAGCAGAACCATGAAGCACTATTAATGTGTATCCTTTTTTACTTGTTGTACCCAACATCCTTATTCATTGAAAACAGATGTTTAGTGCCTGCTTGCTGTTATTAAGAGTCTGACACAACACTTTACTAGGGCCAATAACATTGGTACAGTGAGGTCTGGAGCAGGGGCAAAAATGTTTCTAGAGCCCATGAGACTCCTGTATTTTGGAGCACTATGCCAGCTGAGTTTGGGTTTATGCATTCAAAATAAGATGGATTTCCAAAAAATTCTACTGGTTTACTGCTTAGATGTTGACCTCAAAAAACTCATTTGCCCGACACTGATGCTAGTATGAAAGACACAAGCTATTGTATTTTTTTTCCCCAAGCCCTTAATTCTCTGCACCAGCAAGAGAACAGATAAAGAATTCTGGCAATATGGTGTTTAAAATATACCTTCTCCATTGTCTGGTTACCTAATCTGCTTTGATCAAAATAAAACGGAAAGATTCTTTATAGAATATTAGGGACATCCCTGGTGATTATCTCAGAGCAGATACCTACTCTGTGGTCCTGGCCTGCAGTGCCAACAGTTGAGGTTGGAAGGCCACTCTAGAGATCATCTAATCCAACTGCCCTGTGCAAGCAGGGTCACCCTCAGCACGTAACCCAAGCAGGTTGTGAATACCTCCAAAGGAAAAGACTCCACAACCCCTCCGAGCAACCTGTTCCAGGGCTTATCACCCTCACAGTCGGGAAGTTTTTCCTCAACTTCAGATGGAACTTTCTGTTCTTCAGTTTGTGCCTGCTGTTCCTCATCCTGTTGACAGACACTACTAAAAATAGCCTGGCATCCTCCCTTTAGATATTTACACAGATTCATAAAATCTCATTTCAGTCTTCTATTCTGCAGGTCATTCTTTAGCTACTGTGAAAAATCAGAAGAAAATGATAGGTTTTCCTTGTAAGAACAAGCCTTCATGAGAAATACCTTTTAAATTTTAACAGTGACAACAGCATAACCTGTTACTGAACCTATTTGTTCTTTTTCAGAACCCATTTCTTAATTATTCCTTCCTTGTTCATGACAGTAATTATATTTTGACAGGAAAATGTTTAGACCTTCAGAAGCACCCCGATGTATACAAATGGGCAGTGCTAAATGCGATGGAAAAAGCAGAATCTTTCAGTCTGCATCAGAGAACATATAAGGAATAAACAGTCAGTGAGCACACATAATGTATCACTGCCATCACTACCAGCTCAAATCCATGCAGTTGTAACAGGCAAAGCTGATCTGCCTGATTATAATTCAGGGAAGATTAGTGTGTTGTCACCAGTAGAGCAGAATTTGAATAATAAATTTTGGTGAAGATCATCATTTGCACTTCCTGTTTGTTTATAAGGGCATCACAACAGCTGTTCTTCTCGCCAAAAGCAGCTGCTTGGTGATATTATTTTTCAATTAATGACAGTACACTTTGAATGGATTACAGCATGCGGCTACGAAAACAATGACAATTAGTGAAAGAAATCAAGCAATGTA